CCAGCGACCACCACGATGTCCGTTGACCGAGCACTTCGGAGCAGTTGAGAGAGATCCTAGTATAATTTATCCTTCACTTCTGGCGAACTGCAATCTGTTGGTGCATAGGCGGATACGACGAATAAACATCAGCGTTTCGTTCTGTAGCTGTTGATTCGTACTGAACCATCCAGACGTACGGCGCAAAGTCAACTGTTAACCGGGATCCAATCGAGAAGTGAACGCTCGGCCTTGACACTTAGCGCAATCCCAGCACCAGCAACACCGCGAGCTTTGGATGTAGAATTGCCTGTCATGCGGAGACTGAAGGGTAAGGATGTGGTTGAATCTGGGGAACGCAAGATGATTGAAGTAGGGTCTTGTATGCGTGTTTCGGAGACAGCGAACATCTAAATGGAAGGTTTCAAAAGTTCTAGCTAAGGCGGCTTGTTGACCAATCTGATAGTGTGCGAACATTAAATGCGGCTAAGTGGAAAGGAGATTTTGGTTTCAAAAATCTGATAGCCTCTGAGTGGTCGGCCTCATTAGATGAATACTGACTGGTATCCGATGGATTAATTTCTTAAGGTATGGGCGTGAGAAGAGGAAACAGACGGTTGAGAAAGACGATTCTCCAAATGGGTACCTAAGACGTTTTGGCACGGCATACTTCGCCGTTGTCCACATTGACAAAGGGGTTTTTCTTTGGGAACCCTAACCGGAGCCTTTGACTCAAAAGTCTGACCCCCAAGACAGCGGGGACATTTGACTTTGAGACACTGAGTTCAGTCTGATGCTAAACAATACTTACTAAGAGCATTAGTTTACGTGAAACCTTTTGAGGAAAAAGGCCTTCTGTTTTAGGTGACATAAGCTCACTCAACAAGTCTTACTGTTACGCTATTCTACACTGGTTTTCAGACACGTTCAGTCAATTCATGGTATGGATGATCGTACCAATATTGGAAAAGGAAAACCATCAGATTATGGAATGGACGAATCAAACAACGAATTCACTGCAAAACTGTATAAACAACGATGGGTAATACTCACATTGTTTTGTTGGTGTTCCGCTTCGAATTCATACCACTGGATACACCTGAACATCATATCTGACAGAACACTCTATCTGTGGAATGCGAGTGTGCCTGGTAAGTGTGACAGTTGATTGTAAACGTCTCAACATCATGCTTCGGGTTTTTTCTTACATTTCCTATCCATAAACATATTTTATTCAGAAATGAAAAAAGTGCAAATTGTTGTGGATCCTTCGAAGAAGCTGGAAAACCGGAGGTAAACAACTATTATAGATGAGAATGTATCTTAGCCCAAGCCGAAAATTTCAGTTCAAGGAAGCTGTTAAATAGGATTGCAAATCAAGGCCCATCGAGAAGCCGGTAGATTCTTCCAAGTCGCTCAAATTTATATTATTTGGGGGAGGAAGAGTTGTAAACTTCGCTGGATAAAAACATCCTGCTGTTTCAAGGAATTAAGTGCAGTAATATAACCCTCAGTGTTCAGCTGCTGAGTAACATCTGGTTTCCTGCCTAATTGTCAATACTGGAAGAGAAAACACTGACATTCTCTTGTGAACCGTAAGCAAGCGAAAACAAGAAACATCAACCAAGATGCCGACCAATCATAGACCAGACTTTGATAAAATATACTGGGAACCTAGACTTCTAATATTAAACCCCACAGGACCCAAGCAAAAAAGTATAGTTTGAGCTGCGCGATGGGAAGCCGCCTTGTACAAACCCTGGCTTAGGATATTGTAGTATAAGCCATTAAACTGTAGGACACGAGGCACACAAGGAATAACCATTTAAATCTCTTGATGGTCATCACCCAACTGCGAAAAAATCTCTTATTTCTGATGAGATTTTAATGGTTAAAAGATTTCAAAATGTATTGATACGTAATGATAATAGTACTAGATCGGAAACCATACTTCTGTTTTGTTTTAGTTCACGCTTCATTTGCTCTGCACACGAAAAACTCCGCTGTATTATAACAACGGTTTACATGTGAGATCGGCCAAAGCTTTAATGTGAGCTTTGTAATACAGCCTGTGAGTTGAAAGGTTCATTGATCAAATGGCCTCGTTGGTCAATGGAAGATTCGCGGATTTTTAGGATTTTGAGATAGTCAAATCAACTATTTACTGAATTTGAAGCATGGAATCATATACTGAATAGCGATTGCTGGTGATACATCGATTGAGATCAACATTCCTTATGATCGACTTGCAATAATTTATACTATTCGCTGTTTAGAAAAATGTTTTTCATCTTATTGAACGCTTTAGAGCAATAAAGTCGAAAAGGATACGCCTACGAATGAAAATTTATCGACTGATTGCTCAGTGTGACTGTTCACAGTTTTGGTGTGGCGGACAGATTTCTTGTGGGTCCTTTTTGTTTCTCTGAACGACAACCGGGAAATCTCGGATATCCAAAGGTGGTTCGTTGAATAAATCAAATAGTTAATTTTATTTTCAAGAAAGCAACTGGTTGAAAGTACAAAAAACAAAACAGTGCCTCACTCCACCAAAATTTTGATGTCACCATCTTTCACAGGATATGAATATATATTTCACATCTTTAATAACAAAAGATTTGATACTGTCATCATTATTCAAGTAATGATGTAGACGTAAAAGTATTGCATTAAACCGTTTCAATACTGTGATCCGATAAAGTATACTTGGGACGAAATCAAACAAATAACCACGAATCTGCAGTGTAAAAGTGCTTGGTTTGTACTTGTTTTATCGGATGCACTCGAGAACTGTCACAACGAAGCACAGCATTGATATTCTTGCTACGGTTATTATTATTTAATTGAGAAGTTCATTTGTGAACTGACCTATACCACTGCGCTTTACTGAATGATACAGTGTTATAACTACAAGTTATTCCCGTTACTAACACAGGACGTCGTGAAAATTCTCTAATTGCCTGTTGAACTGTTAGGATGTCCCGGTGAAACTGGTATCCATTCGACGGAAGTAGTTGGTGTTGCCGTTAGGGTCGCTATTCTAACCAACCATGTTTAAATTTTAGGAAACAACGTGGCGAAGCTTTTCCATCGACCGATTCAGGATGTTCCATATGCATAGATTAAAAGTGTGTATCTATATGTAATGTCTCAATGATTCTTATAAATTGGAAGTTTTCAATGTTAAAATCATCTTTCATGCAGACCATTACTAATGGGAAGTCCCATTTAATTTAACTGTGTTGCTCCGAATAAGTTACAATTTTATTTTGTAGCCGAAAATTTGCGCGTACAAATTAAAAACTCTCGCTGTGATTCCATTCAAGGTAGTACTACATAGATCAGAAGATCATTTTATTTAAAGATTATTATTTTTTGTTTAAAATACTGACCTTAATAGCAAAATTTAACAATGTTCTTGCAATTATGAATTGCGTGAAAAACCATTATGCAATTTTCATGATCATGTGCTTACAGAAAGGTAAGCCCAGAAAAACATTACATTATTATTATTATTAACTTGAAGCAATAAACGTACCGGCACATCGCTTGAATTATTATAATTCATGCCGTTTACAAATAATAGTGTTGACGATGGTTTGAATTCTGGTCAATAAAATGGCTGTGTGCAAAAACCACAGATGGATTGAAAGAGTGTTATATGTAGTAAGAAAAAACAAAACAAAAGGAATATTTTTATTCGTAATATTTAAGGATGTCTGTAAAGTCCAGTGAAGACAAACAGGCTCTATTATTTGTACACAAATAAAGTACAATACTGTTAAGATGTTTAGACATAGCAAAAGTTGCGTTTAACTTGTACCGTAAATGCCCGTCTGAAGTTTCATCGATGGTGTGCTGACTTGGATGGCGGTGATCAAATATTTAAGATCAGATTAATAGGGTCTTGGAGGTCGAGCGCTCGAATTACCGCCACTGGAAACCCTCATTCTCCATTTTACTATTCTGATGAGATGTCTTGATTAATCACACTTTCCTTCCTGGACATTACCTGTATAATTTTGTTTAATAAACTAAGATGAAGTGTCACTTATTTTTGCTATTATTATTGATATTTATGTATTTGTTTTAGGCAATAGTGAAGATAAGCGTCAAATCGCACTCGATTGGCTCTCCATGGTCTATTTGCTTACCTACATCCCCCTGATTGTTCCCGCAACCTGGCTTCTTGATCGATACGGATTACGTGTCAGCACACTTCTGACGGTTGTGCTCAATGCTTTGGGTGCTTGGGTCAAATGTGTGGCTGGTATCCTGGCCGTAGACCCGGAAAGCTCGATCGCCAACACATTTGGTGCTCGCAGCGCGTTTCCTCTTCTAATGTTTGGTCAAACCTTGGATGCAATTGCTCAGGTTTTCATCCTGGGAGTACCACCGCAGCTGGCATCCACATGGTTCGGTGATCAGGAAATATCCACTGCTACATCAATTGGAGTACTGGCAAACCAGGTGAGTGTTTTTTTTTCGTTTTGATTCATTTTTATTAGATGATTAATGCTTCTTGTATAATTTGATTGCATTTGAACGCAGCCTACGACTATCAGTCGCAAAACTTGAAATTTGTTTTTCTTTTTAGGTTAGCAACCTTATTAAAGTCAATTAACTTATGAATGAAAAAAAGTGACTGATTCTACTTAGTCAGATAAGGTGGGACTAATTCTAAGTAGTCTTACCGAAATTAACATAAGTATCTACAATTAAATCTATCGGTTCTAGAATTAGCCATTGTCTGACACTTCGTGAGTTTGAACCCATAACTTTAAACTTTTAATGTAGACCGTTTTATGAAGGCCACTATTATTTATATTGCTTCAATTCTTTTTTTACTGTTTTCATACAATATACAATGATACAAATCATTCTCAGGAAAGGGAGAACGAAAAAACAACGAGTTTAATGTAGCACAACCAATTAGAAGAAGTTAGGCGGTGATGATGGGGTTTGAACACATTACCTCCGAGGAAATTTGTTGGTAAGCTTACGGTTTCATTTGTTCTCAAGCACGATGAACTGAATAAAATGCAAATACATATCTCCTCGTCCGGTGAACGACAAGGGTTTCAGTCTGGTCATCGGTGCTACAATTTGCGATTAAAAAATATAGCACATGTGTTACCTTGAAATCATTTCATTATTAGGCATTATTGCATTCACTAAGCTCCAATTTCCCTAACTAGTGAAAACGTTTACTCTTTTCAAAGTAGCTTATTTTTTCCTCTGTGACTCTTTGACCCGAAATGCTCGTGAACTATGAAAATGAATACCAATAAACAGTATTACCTTACGACGGACTATGTTCTTCCGGAATCACTTAACATTCTCACGAGGCTTCAGTGCTTTTGAGCAATGATGCTTAGTTCCGTTGTGGGCTACGGACAACGTGACCATGTTGCACCGTTGTATTCTAGCCGTTGATTTATCTTTTGCGTCTGATGAGACTGTGCGAATGGAATTTCGCGCTAACCCGTAAGCCCCCGCCCCCGCTATTCTCACCTTTATTTTCCCGAATGATAAACGAGTTTGTTTTCCCTCATGTTCGATGCCGACAGGTAGACTGTGTAAATTACGGCGATGCGCACATATATTTAAGATTGTGTCCATTACAAAAGTGTTGACAACGCTTGCACACCTGCAATGTTTTAGGCCCAGTCAGGTCAGGATTTGACTCGAGTCATGGATTCGATAAAATAAGTGTACGATTTCAAACATGTTCGATGTTTTTTTGCAAAACTGAACCTGATGGTTTTCACCGAAAGACTAACATCTCGGACGGCCAAGTAGAGAAGTTAACGGAAGATCGCAGAGCTTGGTTTCAATGTGACCGAATTTAAGTAAATCAGAATGTGATCCATACTAATCTTTCTAATCCACTTCGCAAATACGACATTCCCTTACCTGTAAGCCGTACTAACGTAATTCCGTCGAGGCGTATAGATAAGTGCGCAGTAAACGAGGATTGGGATGCGACAAGTTTTCCTGTGGAAACCAGCGGTCGATTGCTTTTACATGGATCAGCTTGGCATCAGAATAATTTTTGTATTTTTAAATTATCACGTGCGGGGGTAGTACAAATCTGTCACACAGACGGAAATCGCAACTTCAGGCAACTACGCTAGGAGTTCAATTAAATTGCACTGGATTATGAGCTGTCACAGTTCTCCAAATACATTATGATAAACGATCCCAAATAAAAGTAGGACGGGCGCTTTTTAGATTGTTTCTATTCTCCGATGTTGTTATAACCAGACGTCGAAAGCGTAACCGAAAATTTGACCTGTTCGAATTACGGTTTGCATTTGCAGACGACATTCGTCAGTGGAATCGTACTACAGTTTTATTCGTCACCCAATTTCGATTCACAGTAACTTTGTCGTATTAATAACGTTCATTATTATTAACTTGGTTTCATAGGTTTCAATCAGTGAATAAATTCATATCATTGTACTCCAACTAATATCGGTTTGACGGATACCAATATATATATAAATATATATATATATATATTTAACACCGGCTTGAGAACAAGCTTGGTGCCAGGGCCACAACAATATTAACCATAACAATAAACANGGGGGGGGGCTGGGGTACAGAGTGTAGGGAAAAGATGTAGCTGTCAGAATAGGAGATTACAAATAAGTGGAAAAACAACTTTTTGTGTGTTTCACCGTACACCTTTTGATATTTTTTTATTGTTTTTTACGGGGTACGGGATTTCGACAGGCAGACCATACAGCATTCGCGCCACTGCTTTATATTCCGGGTCAAATCGCTCAGTGTCTCTAACCAACGACAATCCTCATCCCTTGGGCCCCAACCTGGAAGGCGGGCTGCACTAACCGAAGTCAAAGGTGAAGCCAGCTTCTTCATGCCTCTAGCCTATGTCATGGTCTGACCGCCGCGTCGCTTCTTCCAGCCTTGCCCGGCACGTACGAAGAGAGCATGGAAAGGTAGTCGATAGAGAGGCATACGCAATAAG